TATATATGTATATATATATATATATATATATACGCTATCAATTGCGGGTTGAATCAGATGTGACAATAAGCGAAGATCCATAAAATGCTCAGAAGACATACATCGGCAAATTTTGTGTTAGACAACAAGTATGAAATAGGTATGAACTCTTGCAAAGCTTGTACATTGAACACCGGAAATTTGACTGAATAACGGCAACGAATTAAACGCTGGAACGACATACCAATGGAAGCCGTGGGTACCTGAAGCTCATCCATGTTGGCCGTACAGCCGAATCATGGCTGTCGTAATGCTTGCAGTTTCTATCAAAACTATGTACGCTTGTCTACTGCGAAGTGGTCCTCATGCAACTTTCTCGGCGCCGTTTCTCTCCAATGTTGCTGAGCAAAGATTGCTGCGAGATTTGCTGATTAGAGACTCGTAGGAACTTGAAGGACTCTGCATAATCTCGAATTTACAGTGTCTGCATCAATAACTTCGCGTCGAACGGTTAAAACCGTGAATAATGCATTCAACGACGTAAAACGCATCGATGGATCAGAGAGAACGAATTTCTGTTCAATCAGAGATTTCATTTCTAACAGTCAGAATTTGATTTCAAATATGTTGACTACATTCTAGTCGTGTATTTGGGTATATAATTTTAAGTCCTTTCGCTTTTATGTCGGTGATACACACCTTGGTCGTTTGAAAATAGAGCCCTAGCGACTTTTTTTATTATTCATTTCGCATGATCTTGTCAGAACAAAAGCTAGCACCCTGGGGCTATTCAGATTTTTGTCTTCCATCTGAAAGAAATTAACATACTTCGAATACATCAAATATCCGCATATAGGTGCTTAAAATTGTATCGTTTGGTTAGGATTGCCCGCAGTGGACAAATTGTCAACCAAATTACCAAAAAAAGGGTGTCGATATTAGAAGAGCGACTGTAAGAGAGATGCAACCCGACGGAACAGAACTTCATGTAAATGATCTTAACATACACATAAAACGCTTTCATACAAGATCATACAAGAAACAAAACAACAGGGAAGCTACATATGCAGACTGAGTGACCACAGGTTCGAATTTGCTTTGCATAGTTCATATTGTATTATTATGGAGTCGAGAGCTGTGGGACATTTTAATTAGAGTCAAGAAAGCCCTAGAGATCTTAAGGCATCAAAAATCTAAAAGCATCAGTAAACATAGAGCTAAGTTAAAGTGTAGATGACAAATGCTACAGTAGTTCGAAATTGATATAAAAATTACTTTCTGATGAAATTCGGTTTGCTCTACTGTTTAACTGCTACCACCGTTTTCCTTATCTGTATGTCGGCTTCGATCGTTTATACTGAAGCAGGTTTAGAAAATCGTCCTGCCGATGTATGTCTCTATTCTAAGGTGAAATGATTTCATCTCTTTTCTCTAAGCTAGCTTAGCCTCATATAAATTAACTTTTTTTTAATCTACTTTAACTTACTTGTTTCATATTATTTATTTAGGGATTTATTAATTTATTGTATGTGTATTTAGATATAATGTAGGCACGTTTTTTTTCGTTTTCGCATAAAATATACGAAATCTATATAATGAAATAGATTTTGAACTTCTTTCCATAGAAAAAAATCAAGATTGGTTTCTAATTTTGAAAATGTTTATATCTGAAACAAATTTAGCTTTGACAGGTAAACGCATATGCGCAGCAGACCTGCCAACAATGTACGTCTTGGCATTTTTTTCTATTTAGTCCCCCTTGTTTTTGAGATGTATAGAAAAAAGCTGATTTTATAAATACTGCATACAAGCTTTACGTTGATTAAAAATAACGTGCATTTAAAGGTATCTAAAAGAAAAACAGATTTAATAACTTCTATACATAGACCTGACATTGACTGAATATATCTTGCATTTGATTGCCCGGGCAAAAACCTGTCCATATTTGAAAAAGTTGATCTATTAGTTCACAACGAGGCATACATATGTTACAATGGTGTTTCAAATGCTCATTAACGTGACGGACCCAATTTCAGTGTGTCCATTCTGATCACGGATTTGTTGATGACCTAGTCGACTCGACAACGACAGTATTTAGGTCATGCCCGTCCATTTCAGCCAT